AATGATATGCAGAAGAAAATCAAAGGACTTCTATTTTTGATGAGGATATTTTAGCTGTTCAATATATCATCTATCAAAAAGTGGTCTCTATCCCCGACCATTGACTCCCTATAGCATGCTGATGGAATGAAAACTTGAGCTTCAAACAGTTAGTCTATTCATCATTTCTCCTGCATTCCCTTAGCATTGGACCTGTAGAATCAAAACTCAAAATTCAAAGCCTCCTTCCTTCGTTTCCTTTCCAGTTCTATCAAATACACCCCGCTATATACTAGTTTTTTCCACCAATATTAATGGGTATAGCAGGATTCTGTAACATTTCAAAGCCAATTGTAAAGCTTTTCAAAGTAACAGAATATATGGGTCAAGGGAAAATGAAATCAATGAGCAAAATTCAAGCCAGAGTCAAGACTACTTAAGTTAATAGGCTAGGCAATTCAGCCTGGATTTCAATTTATTTTCTATTGGGCATTTAGGTTTCACAAACTTTGAGTTGGTTGGTTCAGGTCGATCTCAAATGCTTCCAACTGCTTTGAATACCATCTAGGTTGCACTAAGTAAGATTCTGTGCCTCATTAATGCTGCTACTCGCAGGCTGTGTCTCCCTTCCATTGCTCTTCTGTATTTATCTTCTTCTTGTATTTCAATTAGGGGGCCATCCTTCATGGCTGTTTAACTTGTTAGAGAGTGAAAGGTGGGAGGATGGGAAGCCGGACCGATGTGTCTTTATGTTCTTAACACGTGAAGAACAGCAAAATGGTGAAAAGGAATATCAGCCACAAGGAATTGTACTGCATGGTGAAGGTAACAGTCTTTCTGTAGAAAGAGGCTGCAGGAAAACACTTCCGAAGAAAACAAAGCATACCAAGTACCTGATTCAGCCATTCTTAAACTGATCCCAAAACTCCTCATAGGAGGTCATATCTATATGTCCCATCTATATACTTTGATATTACACATAAATGGCAACAATTTTTTGCTTATCAAACTAATTATATGTCATTGAGGGTACATATTCCCAGTTTCATTGTTACCTGTAGAGTTTTACCAAGTCCCATCTCATCTGCTATTAGACATCGCCCTCCCCTCCTTAAGCCAAATTGAACACCTTCAACTTGAAAAGGCAGTAGCGCGTCAAGCAACTTTTTGGGGAGGTTCCTGATCAATTCATTAACCTTCTCATCAGTAAGAAATTCAGGCCTATGAGGTATCCATTTGCCAGCGCTATAGGAATGTAACATTGTTTCAATCACATTAAAAGTTCCCCAAGGTATCTCTTCACATTCAACGCCTTCACAGTTCTTCAACAACTTCAAGACTGATTCATACTCCCCAAGGCTATATTTGCAGGCCCTTCCACCTTCATTGTTCTGGGTATAGTGGGGTGGTACAACCTGATTGCAATCAAATAAAATGAATCAACTCTATTTGCACATTTCTCTGCATTCAATATGGGCAGAAAAACAAAAGAAATATAAACATGATATGTCATTTATTTAAACAAAAAGCTGCGATTAAATTGGAATAAACGATAAGGGTTAACCCAGAAGCTTTAGTTGTATTATAACAACTCGTATTGCACTTTTTTCGCATCATAATGATGGATAAATCTCTTCTGGTTGTTTTATCTCATGTCAAAACATAATTGCTCAGTCCCCGCTTTCCCTAGACAAAATATTTACATTTTTTTCCCTTTCACACACAAATCCAAGAACAACTTACAACCAACCTTAGAAACCTTTTTTCGAATTTATACGACTCTTATTCTACAATTTTTCAACTCACATTGTGCACATATGCAAACAAAAAAAAAGGTGCACACAGACGTGTTCTTGGTTCACTGCAAGATAAAATTTTTGTATACTAGAAAGCCAGTTGATTTTTTTTTTTTAAATTGTCCACCAGAGGAAACATATTCTCCAGGAGAATAGGACCCTGGAAGCTAATGCAGAAGAAAAATATCCTCATTCCCCTTCAGAATTCCTTCAGCTACAATTTTCATCAAACACAAGTAACTCCTGCATTTGCGCAAGAACAAGAAAAATACCAGCAAGTAACAAAACGGCAAGAAGTCCTTCCAACATCACATCAAACAAAACTAATTTCGCATCTATTCACACGAAAATCAAGAACAGCTCTTTCTACAAACACATTAAATACACATTCAAATTGGGAAACAAAAAAGCTCAAAAAATATATATATACATACATTAGATAGCCAATCACTGAGCTTCTCGAAGCAGGCTTCATCACCGGGATACGGAAACCCTGGAACAGGCAGAGGCGTGATGAAGAATGAATCAGGGGAGCAAATTTCAAGCCTAGCCCTAAATTTCTCAGTTGAAGGAGGGGAAATTAGTGGTTTTCGAAAATCAGAGCACTTTCGTCCAGATGATGAGAGTTTTTGGCACTTAAACAGCTTCCAAGCACTCTGAAATTGATTGGCGTTTGAATTATAGTTGGTGGTGGTGACAGCGGCGACGGTGGAGCTGGTGGTGGAGGTGGCGGCTAAAGCAGCGGCTTTCCGCTTGGCTAATGCGGCTCGACGGTTAGATTCGGCTCGCTGTTTTTGCGCTTCTGTGATTTCTTCTTCTCCTGATTCATCCATTTGAGGATTTTTATGTTCTTTTTTTCTTTTTTTTTCCCCGTTTTTCCTGTTCGATTTTGGAGGCTTGGTAGCTGGAACTAGGGAAGTAGGGAGGTTTTGAAATTGGGAAAGAAGAGGGAAAGAGGAAGGGTGGGGTTCGGTGGGAGAACGAAACGGAAGCGCACGCACACGATTTTAAAAGCGGCAGCCGTGGGGACACTTTTAACAATGTTCCCTTTTCTTAGATACAACATAATTTTTATCATATATATATATATATATATATATATATATATATATATATTGTAAAGTCGTATTCTCATTTTTATCGCTTTATACTTTCTCTTTTCTATGTGACTTAACGACTGGGCAAGTGGTTTCAACACGCTCTATAAAATAACCTACGCTCTTCCATCTCTCTCTTCTTCTTTTTTTCTCTTCCATCTCTCTCCTCTTTTGTCTTTGTTCATTTATTCCATGATTTTCACCTTTTTTAAAAAAAATTACCTATACTCTATATGGAGCTTATCTCTCTCTTTTCATAAGCACGAAATCAATTATCAATATCTATCTAAATTAAATTTCAAATATAAAACCGTCCTTATCATTCATGTATGACTTAGAAAACTGTTTTTAGTATTTTATCCTATATTCGCTGCTGATTATCATTCTATCATAATCATATATTTGCGGTCACTTGCTCCTCTTTTGGTTTGTGAACTTCTAGGTATAACAACAAGGTATGACCGTATAATTTCTTTAGTATGCACGCCTTTAGTAAAACTATTTTTTATTATCATCTTTTTATATTCTTATCAATATCTCTTTATATCCTTATCAATTCTTATTTCCTACATAAAGTTACATACTTTCAGCAACTTAAATTAAGATAAAACTACTTTTAATATTCTTATCAATATCTTTTTATATGCTTATCAATTCTTATGCCTACATATAGCCTCTTTATATTGTTAGGTATTTCCAGTGCAAGTGGTTGGTACATTAAAGCATCGATTTTGGGTTTCCACTCCTCTTGATTATCAGGTAAATCTTCCTTCGATACACATTTTTCTTTTTTAAAAAAACATGTTCATCTTGAATTGTAAGAATTTAGTAACATATCTTGAATTTTGTGTGTTTTGGTTTTATTTTCTATTTGTTTTGTTTGAAGAGATAGGATTTAAAATGGTATTTTCATCATAAGTTTTCATGTAGAAACATGTTAGATGTTTCCACCGAATTGGACAAAGATTCATATGCTATAGGATGCATGTTAGATGTTTGTTAATTTGCCTTTGTTTCGTTTGTCCAAGATACTGGGCTCATAGCTGGTGCTGTGGATCCTTGCTCAGCACATACTTTAAGAGTTGAATTTGTTAGTCTCCAGCCTTTTTTTTCCAACCACATGTAAGTCTGTTAGTTACTTTAGTTGAACTATCTATTCTATGTTTTCACTACTGTTAAACATTCATATTATAAGCATTTGGCCCATGCCTCTTGAGTGATCATGAACTGAAATGGGCAAATTTATTTTCATTCCTTTTGCGAAGACAAAATGTCTACTAAATTTTCATCTTGAATTGTGAGTGATCATGGGTTTTGTTATCCAGAATTGTAAATACAATTTGTAACTACAATCTGGAACTGTTTCATCTTGAATTGTTCAATTTTATGAAAGTAAATGCTATTGTTGGTTATGTCCCATGTTGTTCTTAAATTTTTAATAATCAATTAATGAAGATATTTCTTCAGAAGTTTTGTATCTTTAGCTATTATTGTTATTAGTTACTTTAGTCGAACTATGTTTTCTATGTCTTCCACTGTTATTAAATATTCATATTATAAGCATTTGGCGTATACCCATTGACTGATCATGAACTGAAATGGGGAAATTTATTCTGGTTCCTTTTGCGAAATTTATGTATGTCGGTGTTCAAGGGTCAACGCAACAAGATTTTCATGGGCATAATATATAGTCAACTAAGTCTACAAATACAATTTAATATGAAAGTATTACCCACTTTAATACATCAAATACCATAAATAGTCTGGCTAATTAAATGTACAATGTTTTATTTTAGCATGAGGAGGTAGATTTAATATACTATTTTACTTTCCTAATCTATAATCTTTATGTATTGTCTTACACAACTTTGAATATGATAAATCATTTATTTTTGAGCGAATTGCGCGAAATGTCACTAAACTATTTCAAAGTGCCGGTTCTGGTCACTAAACTTTTTTATTAGCACGAAATGTCACTGAACTAATAAATCTATACCGTTTTGGTCACTCCGTGTATTTGTGCCGTTAGGAGAGACGGAAATCAACTTTTTGAGGGGTAATTTCGTCTACACAATAGTTAAAAAATTTATGCCCTCATTGTTCTTCACCCACAACCATAGTGATAGTGCTATACCATATTTACATTCCCAGCCTTCCCGTACGCATCAATCATCACAGAATAGGTAACCTCATCCGGTTCACACCCAAAAGACGGCATTTTTTCGAACCACTGGACGGCTTTCTCAGGTAAAGAAGACAGCCTGGCGCAGCTAATTATGGTGGAAAAGGTGACATTATCGGGCTTAACTCCTCTCTCAATCATATCCGTAAACAATTTCTCGGCTCTGTCCAAGTCTCTACATTTTCTAAACACCTTGAAGGTAACATTATACAAAATCACTTCTTTCTTCAACTTAAGCCTTTTCAGAAAGTAACTCAGCACCAAAGGCGCAGTTTCAGAGTTTGACATGTTATTGAGCACAACAGCAGCATCTTGCTCTACAACTTTGCCACCCAAATTAGCCAAAATACTAAAAACGTCAGCTTCTACAGGGTCACACGAGTCCAATTGTTGGGAAGCTTGGACTAAAGAAGCATACCTGAAATCGTAGGAATTGCGCCTGAGCTTTGATGCCCTGGAGCTGTTGCGGTTGACCCAGATATAGCTTTTTGAGGAAGAAGAGATGGTTTTAGCATTTGGGCGGTGAGGAATTTGGGGAATTGAGGGGGATTGTTGTTGGGAAGCCGGTATAGAGAGGGAAGGTTTTGGATGGGGCTTGAGAGGAGGAAAAGCGAGGGCGTTATGGGGGATGATTCTGAGTTGGTGGAGGTGAGTGGGATAAAGAGAGTTACAGAAGAGGTGTGGGTCGCGAGAGAGATGAGACGGCGAATAGGCGGTGGCCACTATTCTTCTCTCTACTCTCCTTCCTTCCTTCTCAGTCGTCACTCACTCAGCAGAGCAGTCAGCAGCATTTGAGTTTTCTTCTTTTTTACAACTATGAAAAATTTCGCCTGCATTTTTTGGTTGAAGTTTGATGGTGCCGCCATTCAGATCAGCCATCTCCTTTTATGCCGGATATGGAACCATTGATTATGTAAAAGCTTCAAGGAAAAGGCTGTGCAGACAAATTTGCCCCTCAGAAAGTTGATTTCCGTCTCTCCTAACGGCACAAATACACGGAGTGACCAAAACGGTATAGATTTACTAGTTCAGTGACATTTCGCGCTAATAAAAAAGTTTAGTGACTAGAACCGGCACTTTGAAATAGTTTAGTGACATTTCGCGCAATTCGCTCTTTATTTTTTTATACTTAGTTGTCCTGATTTGCTATCATGCAGTGATAATGGAAAATCAATAAATGCTTATTTGCATGGATAAATGGAGGAGAATATTCTAACAAAAGAAAAACAAAAAAAAAGTTTCCGAAAAATAGAACATTATTTGATACTATTTACTGCACTTTTTATTTCTTCTCAAGTTTTTGAATGTTATGGTATTGTCGAAAGTTATATTTTTTATTTTTGAATTATTATTCATTGAATTAGATTTTCACATTTATATTATAAGTATACTTTATATTATGATGCGAACATAGTAATATACTTAAGAAAGGTTATAATAGAATATATGTGAGGATCCGAAAATTTTCTTATTTTCGTCATATATTACTGATTTATTTAAATAGTTATTTACTCATTTTCTCCGAATTATTTAATTCAACTACTTGAAATCCATTTATATGAAAAAACAACTCTCTTATGTTTTTAAAACGTTTTGCTAGAAAATTTACTTTTCGAAAACTCGTTTAGTTCGGAACAGCGAGTATACGTTTTTCGAGACTATATTTGAATTGAGAGTATATTAATTTTGGAGAAGTAAGAATGATCAATAGTAGATTAAGAAAAGTTAACTTGAGATTTGAGGAGTTAAAACTCGACTCATGTGAGGACTCGCAAAATTTATTATTTTAAATTCCATTTTCAACTTATTTAAATATTTAATTACCCATTTACTCCGAATATTATTTTCTAGTCTATTTAGACCTAATTACATGAGTTTATAGCTTTGTTATAATTTTAAAGTGACTCGCTTCAAAATTTAACTTTTGGAAACTCGTGAAGTGAAAATAGCGAATACGCGATTGGAGTTAATAATCGATTCGAGGATACACTATGTTTGGAAAATTAGAGACTTGCAGGATGGACTTAAAATAGGTAATTTTATGTTTAAATACTTAAGTGATAGTTATTAGTACTATCGTTATAAGAAATTTTTGGAAGTTTCGCTTTATCGCGCTTAATTTGGAGATACGCGTTTTCACACGCGCGACTTAAGTGAGAGACTTTAGACCCTCATTTTGGGACAATTAAGAGTGGACAATATTTATATGAATATCAGTGTATTAAAGGTTTAGTGCACTAGTGAAATAAACTCGAGAGGAATCGAGCACGAAATGCGCGTGTACGCGCATTATCCTTAGTTGACTTTTGGAACATTTTGGGCCACACATTATTAAGCTTCTCATGGGTGCATCACACTAGATCATAACCCTTCAATTCATCATCTAAAGTGGCGTATAACACTCTCATTTTCCTCTCCAAGACAGCCGGCCACCATCTCAAAGAAGAACAACTCAAGTTCTTCAATTTTCTTCACCTAAACTTGCTCAAAATCATCACCATTTCACTTCAAATTTCAACCACACTTAGCTCAACACTTGGAGATTACATCTAGCTAAGAAAAGGAGCTGCTGTCCGCGATTTTTCTTGAGCCAAGGAGAGCCAAAATTTCTGTTGTACACATCAAAGCAAGTAGGTAACGATCAAACCTCGGAAACTTAATTTATGGAAGTTCTAGTGCACCTTTAAACTCTTGCTTGCATATGGGTAGTTTGTTTTGATGGAAAATTTGGTTGTGTGGGCACTATGAACTCCCACCTTGGATATATGGACTGATTTGTGGTGTTTTGATGGTAATAATGTTTATTTAGTGCTTAAACTAGTGGATTAATGTTGAGTTATTGATGAAAATTCAAATGAGGTGCAATGGGAAAAAGTGACCATTTTGCCCCTAGTTTGTTCGACCACTTTCGTGCAAGATTTTGAGGTTCTAATGGCTTGTTTATGTTGTTTACATGTTATACTGATTGTGTAAAAAGTTTCATGGAAAAATAATATGATTTGGTTGGTTAAATGAAGTGATTTCCAAAGTTTAGAAAACTAGAAAATGATTCCCGTCACTACCAGACAGTCATCTTGTTTCGGTTATAATTCATTGCTCCGATGTCGGAATCTAGTGCCGTTTGCGGCACTGGAAACTAGACATTCCCAGCTTTCATTTGGTATAAAATTCACATTCTGGTTCCACTCGAGTTAGCCAAACCATTCGTTTGAAAATTGCTGTCCTATTTCGTTTGTCACTGGGAGGCAGATTATGAACTGCAATTTGATGCTCACGTATGAGCTGGTTATGGATAGATTTTGAAAATGGTTTCTTCTGAGAAAATGTAGCCTTATGAATCTATTTTCCAACGCCACCAACCAAACTCAATTAAGAGTTGAATTGAGTGATTTATGATCAAAATTCGAAACTGGTTTTGTGAAGGAAAACCATGCATTTGGACAGATTTGAAACTAACTACGGTTTGGGACTTGTTATCCAAAGCCTCTTATTGTAAATCATCTATCAAATGTACTTTGAACATATTTTGGACATTTCCTACTGGAATGAACCATGTTAGAGATGTTCCTTGACCAAATGTTTGGAAACGGCAAAACGGAAGTTCAAAGGCGGCTTAGCCTTAGAATTTCTTGTGAATTCAACGGTTTTGTTAACCCACTTTCTGTGCTTATTTCTCCATGAAATTTGGTAGAGAAACAACCCTTATATGGTAGTATTATACTGCTAATTTTGGTGTTATTCCGAGGCCGTTTCATTATTCAACTAAACTTCCAAAGTTCATGGTTTGAGTTTGAAAAACCCTTGATTAACAAGGAAATTTTAGTAATTTTGAACTATCATATCTTGGTGCTCAAAAACTCCGAATCTTATTCCATTTATTTTGTTTTAAACCTGAATTACAACTCTAATAGAGTTCCAAATTTCAGAGGCTAGCTCGAATTGTATGAATTTTGTCGAATTTTCAAACTTTGTCGAAAATCAACCCAAATCTGTCATGACTTTCTAAAACAGCAACTTTGGGCTAAATTTCAAATATTTTCCAATTAGAATCATGGAAAAGTGTCTTCTAAGAACTTTTAGTACTTTGGAAATAGTTTCCAATGACACCAAGTTTTCCAATTTTGGACTTGTAGAGAATGAGATACGATTTTTCAAAATATGAGTGACAAATCTGAAATTTCCGAACTTAAAGGTTAAAGGAAATTGAGGGTTGCGAACTCTCTATTTTCCTTCGATATTGTTAAACCGTTGTACACTTGATTTCAAAGATGAAAAATTAGATTTCGCTTGTGTTTCAAAATCCCATTTTTTGAGTCTTGATTTATGAGTAATTAAGGCTCATTTTCGTGAAATTTTCTTAAATTATACAAGTGTGCAATCTTCCTCGATAATTAGGGGTTTTAAGCGATAGTGTGTAATAGACAATTACCATTTGCTCAGGTGTTCAAGGAGACCTTCAAGAGAATCTCGAGAGGGAACACCTAAAGGCTCGTTTACGCACTTACTCCCTTATTTCGATTGGTGAGTGTCAAGTGCATGAACTTGATGTTAAGTGGTTATCTGTTTCTTATTCGTTATGAAAATTTGAAATTTTGAGACGAGGGTGTACTTTACCGTACTCGTGCTCTTTCAAATGAAATTATATTCGAATTTTGCTATGTGAATTCATATCCGACTTGTACATGGTAATGTGGATGTGATTCGTATTTGTTTTGATTCGTATATGTGATCCGTATTTATGATTCCTATTTGGAATCGTCGATTTGAGCATTGCTCGTTGACTTATATTCGTATTCGTATTTGTATTCGTATTCGTATTCGGGGAACGCCCAAATTCGTTGGCTAACTTTGCGAATCGAGCTAGCATGGGCTTGGTCGATAAACTTAGCAAACCATGAGATATTCGTAGAGTATGATCTATTGAAGAGATCTTCCTCGGCATTACTCGCGCAGTATTGCCATGATATACTCGAGTATTATCAGAAACTTTGATGAGCGGGCCCGGTAAAGGGGTGTAACGGTTACGGGATTCGAAGAAAAGTGGTGTATCTACGGATTTGATACTTATGTGGTTGACGAAGTATCAACGAAAAATGTGATCAAGACTTTGACTCGACTACGTGGAATTTAGCTCCTGAGAGCTACAGTATCCTTGAATTGTTTCTGTTTATTTTTTCTATTCGAAATGTGAATTATTCGAATTTTATAGCTTTACTTACTATGTAATTTGTGGCTACTTGGATTATGTGTTTGTATGTGTGTTTCTTGGCCTCACTGAGTATTGGCTCATCCCATTAGTTTGTTTTCCTTAACAGGTTGGATTGGAAGATTTTGAAAAGGCCGACTAGATTATATTTTGATTGGAATCTGGGTTGTAAATGTTTAGTCAACTTTTAATGGTTGTATTTTGGGACTTGATGTATCTTTTGTGAACATGATGTAAGATTTGAATATTTAGTTAAGGAAGCGACTTTTCTTCATTTTGACTTGTAGTATTTGGTATGTATTGTTAAGTTCGATTTGACTTGTATTGAGTCCTGGCGAGAGTTAGGCGGGCGTTCCGCGGATACCCTTGGGTTCGCCCTTGGGAGAAGTGGGGCGTCACAGTTGCTATCAGAGCTTAGGTTTCAGATCTTTATAGTGTATCATAAGCTTAAAAGTTTAGGATGCCGGACTGTGGGACTAATTTGAAAGTTAAGCGGCTACTTGTAGGGATAAAAATCAGAGTAGTTTCACGTGGTTTTTGCACAGATTGAGCTTGGGCCAAGTGGTGATATGGTCCCAATTACGTGAATATATATAAAGGACTAAGTACTCTTCTTGTGCGTAAGCGGTAAGCGTAAAACCTTTGTCATGATACTTGAGGTAGATAGAGATGT